CTGGCCCCGCTCCAACAGGTCCATGTCCTCCTTGTGCTGAGGGCTCCAGAGCTGGACGCAGGGCTCCAGGTGAGGTCTCACCAGAGCAGAGCAGAGGGGCAGAATCCCCTCCCTCAATGCTGGCCACGCTTCTCTTGATGCAGCCCAGGGTAGGGTTGGCCTTCTGGGCTGCCAGCACACATTGCTGGCTCACGTCCAGCTTTTTATCCATCAGTGCCCCCAAGTCCTTCTTGGCAGGGCTGCTCTCGATCCTTTCTTTCATAACAAAATTTTCATTTTGTTATGCCACTGAGAGGCACAGAGGATTGGCTCAGTCTTAAGCAATTGCACAGAAATGCTTCACTTAACGTCAGTAATGGTGACTGATCAGCATTCCAGACCCCTGAAGTAGCTAATGGCCTAGGGGTAGTGCTACTGGGTCACACATATGTACATAAATACACGTACCACTTCATCCTAATCTTACATTGGCAGCAATATAGGTGCATGACTAAAACCATAATGCAGTCAGAAAACTGCTTTCTCTGACTAAAAAGTGCATTGATTCTGATCTTGGCTGAGAAGGATTTTAGGCAGTTAGACATCCCTGAGCACCACTCGCTATGGTCCTCTTTCATGTTAAAAACCTGAAATACTAGCAGCATTCTGACAAGGAACTGAAAAATATTTCCAGTGTAACATCTGTTCAAATCATTTCAACACTTAGAATCATAGAATCGTTTAGGATGGAAAAGACCTGTAATACCATCAAGCCCAACCATTCCCCTAACCCTGCCATCCCACCACCAAACCCTGGCCCTAAGCACCGCGTCTGCCCAGCTTTTAAATACCCTCAGGGATGGGGACTCGACCACCTCCCTGGGCAGCCCCTTCCCGTTCTTGACAGCCCTTGCAGGGAAGAAATTTTTCCTGATGTCCAACCTAACCCCTCCTGGCACAACTTCAGACCATTTCCCCTCGTCCCATCGCCTGTTACCAGGGAGAAGAGACTGACCCCCAACTTCAGGCAGTTTAAGCAGCGTTGACTTTCGGCTGATGAAGCTTGTCCCTTCTCTTCAAAATGAGCATGTTCTTACTGCTGCCGCTGCCAAAACTTCAGAAGCACATTTTGGGCTCTAGCCCAGACAATCACCTCTGGTTTTAGCTAAATAAGCCCATCTATTTGAACCCAGAAGCACAAGATGACGCCAAGTTGTTACTTTTGATCAGAAGCATCCTGGTTCTCCCTCGCAGTTCTTCAGTTACCTCTTAAGATTTTTCTTGGAGGTGTTTGTGATAAAGTACACTCTCACCAGAAAACCAGCAGTCATTTTCCCTTTTAATACTATGATCTCAAAGCATCGCAGCCACCTCTGACACATGGAAAGCTTTGGCAAATGTAATACGTGGCCATTGATAGTTCCTAAGTGGAGAGCAAAAGGTGCACTTCTTGCCTAGCCCATAGCAGGCATTTAATTCATCTGCTCATCGACGTGTGTATTAAGTATTCCTAGTGCTGTATTTGCTGAGGTAAAGGCACAGAAAAGTTATAATAAAAACGCCCGGTGCATTAGTAACTTAAAAACACTAAGGTCAGGTGAAGATTTATTTAAGCTAGAATTAAGATTGCAACGCAGTGTTTTTATGGCCGTTTCACTGAAATCAAAGACATCTTGGGATCTACATGCTTAGAAATTCATGGTAAGGCTGCATCGAACCTCTAAAATGAGCACATCTTAAGCAGATTGTGATTTGTATTTCTCCACGTAGAAGCCTACGAGAAACACCAGCCTTTTTCAGGTGCAACACCCGATGTCCTTTCTGCAGAAGGCAGAAGATCCGGCATACCTGGAAAGCCATCCCTCAGTAGGTGGGAATCATAGAATTGTTTAGGTTGGAAAAGACCTTTAAGGTCATCAAGCCCAACTGTTAACCTAACCCTGCCATCCCACCACTAAAGCCTGGCCCTAAGCACCTCATCTATCCTTTTAAATCCCTCCAGGAATGGGGACTCGACCCCTTCCCTGGGCAGCCCATTCCAGAGCCTGACAGCCCTTTCAGGGAAGAAATTTTTCCCTATGTCCAACCTAAACCTGCCCTGGCACAACTTCAGACCATTTCCCTTCATCCTATTGCCCATTACCAAGGAGAAGAGGCCTCATGGGAAGCAACATCCAGAGCATCAGTCCCTTGGAGCAGAGCACAGAAGTTGCAGGCAGCATCCTGCAGAAGATGCAGGAGCATCCTCCTTTAGAGCAACAGGTATTCAGTTTTCTGCAGGCGGTAGAATTCAGCCAAACGCTGCCATTTGCACCTTGTCAGGTATTTACAGATGCGGTGCTAGGTAAACGCCTGCACGTTCGTTTTAAGAAGAGAATTGCAAGTCTGAAATTCCCCATCTACAGAGGCTGCAACAAGGAAGTATTTCAACGCTTTGGAATTTTAAAGACGAGCCAAGTGACCATGCGGAGCAGGGGGTTCGGATTCCACACTCGCACCCTGGCCCGTAGGCCATAATTAAATTCAAAATTTCATACTCACCTCATTCCAGCAGCAGTGGTATGGAGCTTTAATTAAAATTCGTAAAGCACTACGATTGCCAGAAAATACACAGAGCCTCCTCTTTTACTGAAGTAGTAATTCCAATGGCAAATTGCGTTAAAGAGCTGTTGTCCGTTCCAAATGTTAAACGTTAAAACCCCACTCGAACTGAGCTCTAACCTGCCCTCATTGGTGACCTTGGGTACACCGTGCAGACTGGGGGGCCAACAGATCCCTTACACCAGCAGATCCCTTACTGCTTTTAGCCAGGTAGCAACTTTGTGCTGAAGTTTTTTGCAATTACTTAGAGTATTTGAAAAACAAGCCGTCACTAACAGCTTGTAAGAGAGATCACACCGCGTGTTACATTGTCCAGGAAGGTTATTTTCTGGTTATATGCAAGATACCGAAAACACCAAAGGATTTACCATAGTTAATACTTCCACGTGCAGCCAGGGAAGCAATTTAAGTGTGTTGGTTCTGCTCTAGCCACGGCAGGGATATTGGTATACGAAATATCAGGGTACAGAGAAGATTCTGTTCACACGTCAACAAGACAGCTATTTCAATCTGGGTCGCCACGTACCTCAGGGTTTCCCCTTTTTTTTGGGCTGCCACAGTAAAATAGTCCCATCCTACAGCTCTCTAATCAGATGCAGCAGCATCTTAAAGGTTCTCACCAGTAGGGCTTCTGCTCCCCAGCAGCATCTAAGGCGGGAGAAAAACAGAGCCACAAAAGCAACACTGGATTCTCCTCCCAGTTTACTCGTAAGCTGTGCGTGGCTTTGAATGTCAGGGTGACAATACAAATTCAGCTTTAATCTACATTTGGACAAAAAGCAATTTATGTATCACCAAAAGGGGATGAGGAAATTTCCCTTCAGCAATACTGCGCGCTATTCAGAGTCTTTGCGAAAATCGCATCCAGCTGAGCGCTACGGTCACAAAGCGCCCGAGCGTACTCTTAGGTAAAACTAAACCACATTCAGTGGGAAATGCTGGTCCTTCCTCTGCCTCGGTGGATTCAGGTAGTCGTGAAAGAGGGAGAACGGAGCGCGGTACCGAGGAGGATGGTGTTCTTTGAGAAAGAACTTTTTGACTTTGAGGGTGCCCGAGCCCTGGCCCAGGCTGCCCAGGGGGGCTGTGGAGTCTCCTTCTCTGGAGATATTCAACCCCCGCCTGGACAAAGTCCTGTGCACCCTGTTCTGGGTGAGCCTGCTCGAGCAGGGGGGTTGGGCTGGGTGAGCTCCCGAGGTCCCTTCCAACCCCTGCCATGCTGGGATTCCATGGTCCCAATGGACATAAAAGTGCGTTCAGTCCTGATGTGCCAGCGCGCTCAGGGCGAGGGGGCAGCACAGCCCCCTTCATCCTTGCTTCACCACTGTGCAGGGATGAAGGGGCAGCATGCCTCAGAAACGGAATCTAGACTTTGAGTCTTCCCAAGTAGCAAGGAGACAGCCACATCAGTGCAAGAGCAGGGAAATGAGCTTCTGACCCCGGGTCAGGAGAAACATTTTTGTTCTCATTTTCTGAGATATTTATTTGCCAGGCTTCATGCTTAGAGCCATAGTAAAAGAATAATCTTTCATTATCAGCCTCTATGAAGTCCTACAAATTTCTGAGGAAACCAGCAGCAAGATTGAACCAGATTTGTTGGGTTTGTTCCTTTTCTCCCCCACCCCAGTTTGCTGGGAGGCACCATGCATTATTTTCTCTATTTGGGACCTCGCTACCCTATATCTTTAAATTATTGTCTCTGGGAGACAGCAAGTTTTCGTCACTCGAAGCTTGTTTCAAACTCAGTCATCCAATTCCAAAGAAAGCTAGCTCAGAAATTATTCCGAGGCCAAGCAGTCTAAAGTAAATAAAGGCACATGTATAAGACCTTGAATCTAAGATGAGCTCTTTTGCTACATGACGTTAACTTTTTTTAGGTCCAACACAAATGATCAAATTGCTATTGAAGTGAAAACAAGGGGGAGAATACTGACAAATAACACAAGTGGGGGGAGCCGATTCAAAACAGGCTGCCCAGGTCATCAACCAAAGGCGGCAGATCTAAAGAGTTCTGCCAGTAACCAAGTTGCCTAAAAATAGAGCTCCTGGATTATAGAACAATACAGAGACAA